AAATATCTATTCAAGACTTCTATTTTTTAATTGGGTTGTTTGGTTTTTTGATGTTTAGTTGAGTATATTTTGGATATTAACCTCCTATTGAATTTGTCCTTTGCAAGTGTCTTTTCCTTTGCAATAGACTGCCTTTTCATTTTGCTGATAGCTTTCTTCATTAATATAATCATGTTAGTTTATTTTTTGTCTTGCTTTCTCTTGCCTGAGGAGACAGATCAAAAAAAGTAATACCAAGATCAGTGTCAAAGATCATACTGCCTTTGTTGTCTTCTTGGAATTTTACTTCAATTCTTAATTCAGTTTGAATTTAGTTTTGCATATGGTATAGAAAAATAATAGTCCAATTTTATTGTTTTGCATGTGGCTATCTGGTTTTCTCAACACCATTTATTGAAGAGGCTGTCTTTTCCCATATTTTTGATTCTTTGTTGTGGATTAATTTACCAGAAGTGTGGAGGTTTATTTCTAGTCTTTCTATTCTGTTTGATTGATCTGCCTGTTTTTATACCAGTACCGTACTGTTTTGATGACCATAGCTTTGTAGTATTGTTTGAAATCAGCAAGCATGATAACCACCAGCTTTGTTCTTCTTTCCCAAGTTTGCTTTGGCTATTCTGGATCTTTGGTGTTTCGATGCAGTTTATGAAATTATTTGTTTGGGTTCTGTGAAAAATGCCATTGGTATTTTGATAGGGATTGCATTAAATGGCCTTGGGTGGTATGGTTATTTTAATAATATTAATTCTTCTAATCTATGAACACAGTATATCTTTCTATTTGTGTCATCTCAATTTCTTTTATTAATGTATTTTAGTTTTCCAAGTATGTTGGAAAAGTTTTACCTCCTTAGATTTTTTCCCCTAGGGATTTTATTCTTTTTGATGTAATTTTAAATGGACTTATTCCCTTAACTTTTCTTTCTCATATTTTGTTTTTAGTGTATAGAAACAAAACAGATTTCTGTATATTAATTTTGTGTCCTGCAACTTCACTGAATTCCTTTATTAATTCTTATAGGTTTTTGGTTGCATCTTTAGGATTTTCTATATATAGTATCAAGTCATCTGCAAACAGTGACAGTTTATTTCTTCCTTTTCAGTTTGGATTCCTTTTATTTCTTTTTCTCATCTGACTGTTATGGCTATGACTTCCAATACTGTGTTGAATAAAAGTGGCAAGAATGAGCATCCTTGTCCTATTCCTGATCTTAGAGAAAATTCTTTCAGCTTTTCACCATTGAGTATCATATTGATTATAGGTTTGTCATATGTGGGCTTTATTATGTTGAGCTATGTTCCCTCTACCCCACTGTCTTAAGATTTTTTATCATAAATGGGTGTTGAATTTTGTCAAAAGTTCTGCATTTATTGAGATAATCATGGGATTTTTATTCTTCAGTTTGTTACTGTGGTATATTTCATGTATTTGTGGGTTTGGAATTGTCCTTTCATCCCTGTATAAATCCCACTTCATGGTATATGATCCTTTTAATATGTGGTTGAATTCCACCTACTAATATTTTGTTGAGGATTTTTGCATCTTTTTGTCAGTAATTTTGTCCTATAATTTTCTCTTATTGTGACGTCTATCTGGTTTTAATATCAGAGTGATAATGGTCTTATAAGAAAAGTTATAAGTAACTTATAAGTTACTTATAAGTAACTTTAGAAGCATCCTTCCTCTTCAATTTTTTGAAATAGTTTGATAACAGGTGTAAATTTTTATTTAAATGTTGAACAGAATTTAGTTGAAGTTATCTATCTGGTCCTGGACTTTTGTTTGTAACTTCTTTTCCTTAATTTCTGATTTCATTCATTTGGGCCTTTCTTTTTCATGATGATTCTGATTAAGAGTTTTATCAATTTGTTTATCTTTCAAAGAACTACCTCTTAGTTTCATTAATCTTTTTTCTTTTTTTTAAGTCTCATTTCATTTATCTCTGCTCTGAGTTCTATGATTTCCTTCCTAATAGCTCTGGGTTTTGTTTGTTCTTTTTCTAGTTCTTTTAGATCTAACTTTTGATTGTTTATTTGAGATAATTCTTGTTTCTTGAGGTAGGATTGTATTATTATAGACTTCTCTCTTAGATTAGAGCTGCTTTGCTTTTTTCCCATAGATTTTGGATCATTGTGTTTCTAGTTTCATTTGTCTTCAGGCAGTTTTTCATTTCCTCATTGATTTATTTAATAACTCATTGGTTGTTTAGTAGCATGTTGTTTAGCTTCCCCATTTTTGTGTTTTTTGTAGTTTTTTTTCTTGTAGATTGATTTCCAGTGTCATGCCTTGTGATCAGAAAAGATACTTCATACAATTTCAATCTTTTTAAGTTTATTGAGACTTGTTTTCTGGCCTAGCATGTGGTCTTTCCTGGAAGATGTTCCACATGCAATGAAAAGAATTGTGTATTCAGCTACTTTTGATGGAATGTATTGTCTATGTCTATCAAGTTCATCTGGTCATCTTAAATGTGTCATTTAAGGCCAGTGTTTTTCCTTACTGGTTTTGTCAGATGATCCATCCATCGATGTAAATGAGGTGTTAAAAGTCCCCTACTAATACTGTGTTATTATCAGTTTCTTCCTTTATGTCTGCTGATGTTTGCTTTATGTATTTTAAGTGTTCCTATGTTTGGTGCAGAGAAGGCAATGGCAGCCCACTCCAGTATTCTTGCCTGGAGAATCTCAGGGATGGTGGAGACTGGTGGGCTGCCATCTATGGGGTCGCACAGAGTCGGACATGACTGAAGTGACTTAGCAGCAGCAGCAGCAGCATGTTTGGTGCATCCTGACAGTTTTACCCTTTTGGATGGATCCCTTCATCATTATGTAATGTCCTTCTTTGTCTCTTGTTACAGTATGTGTTTTAAAATCTATTTTGTCTGATATAAGTATTGGTATCCTGGTTTTCATTTGATTTCCTTTTGCATGGAATACCTTTTTTCATCTTATGATTCAGTCTGTGTGTGTCTATAGATCTGAAATGAGTCTCTGGTTGGCAGCATAGATGGGTCTTGTTTTCTGTTCTGTGCCTTTCAACAGTCAACATTCAGCTGTTCTGTGTCTTTTGGTTGGAACATTTAGTCCATTTACATTTAAAGTAATTAGTGATACACATGTTTTTATTGTCATTTTGCTAATTGTTTGGTTGATTTTGTAGTTACTTTTTGTTTCTTTTTTCTTTTGTCTTTCCTTGTGAATTGATGGTTTTCTTTAGTTTTATGTTTAGATTCCTTTATGCTTCTTGTATGTCTATTATTGGTTTTGGTTTCTGGTTACCACAAAGCTCCCGTTTAATATGGTATATGCTATGTGCTTATTTTAGTTGATGATCTCTTAAATTCAAATGCATTCCAACCAGTCTGCATTTTTACTCTGTATTCTTACTCCCCTATCCCAGCGTTTAATGTTTTTAACATGGTGTTTTACTTTTTTGCTTTGTTTTGTGTATTTCTTCCCTTTTTGTCTATATAGGTGTTTTAGTACTTTTGCCTTTTAACCTGTACAGTAATTTTGTAAGTGGTCTATCGACAGCCTTTATGAAGTGTTTGCCTTCACCGTGGGGGGTTTTCTTTTCATAATTTTCCTGTTTGTAGGCTGTGGCCTTTCCCTACTTAGAGAAGACCCTGTAACATTTCTTCTTTTTTTCTGGTTTCACCATGTGGGATATTAGTTCCCTCATCAGGGATCTAATCCATGCCCCCTGCAGTGGAAGCAAGGAGCCCTGACCCTGGACTACCAGAGAATTCCCTATAACATATAAATAGAGCCAGTTTCATGGTGTTGAACCATTTTAGCTTTTGTTTGTCTTTGAAACTCTTTATCTCTCCTTTAGGTCGAGGGACAGCCTGCCAGGTAGGGTATTCTTGGTTGTTAAGTTTTTGCCATTTATCACTTGGACTATATCATGACACTCCCTTTTGGCCTACAAAATTGTTGCTGAAAATTCAGCTTATTCCCTTAAGGAGGTTTCTTTGTATTTTACTAACTGCTTTTCTCATGCTGCTCCTGAAATTCCCTTTACTTTTCATTATTGTGATTTTAATTAAAAACTTTTTCTTTGGCAGCACCGGGCACCTTGTGGGATCTCAGTTTCCTGACCAGAGACTGAACCCCAGACCACAACAGTGAAAGCCCAGAATCCTAACCACTAGGCCACCAGAGAACTCCCTTTGCAATTTTAATTACGATGTGTCTTTATGTGGACCTCTTTGAATCATCTTGTTTGGGATTCTCTGTGCTTCATGAACTTTGATGTCTTTTTCTTTCCCCTCATTAGGAAATTTTTCAGTGATTATTTCTCAGATAAATTATCTTCCCTTTTCTCTCTTCTTCTAGAACCCCTATAATGTGATTGCTATTAATAGTATGTTCTATGTTGTCATAGAGGTCTTTTAAACTATCCTCATTTTCTAAAATTCTTTTTTCATTTCTGTTCAGCTTGGGAATTTCTACTACTGTGTCTTCTAAGCTGATGATCCATTCCTTTGTATTATCTAATCTACTGTTAATTCCTTCTAGTATATTTTTTATCTCAGTTATTTTATTCATCAACTGCTTTTGGCTTTTCTTTATAGTTTCTAATTGTTTAAATTGTCATGGTGTTCTCCATTCTTCTCCAGAGTTCAGTGAGCATGTTTACAATCTACCTTGAACTCTTTATCTGATAGATAGATATTTTCTTATTAGACAGATAGATAGATAGATCTTTTGTTTAGTTCTTTTCCTGATGTTTTGTCTTATTCCAATATTTGGAATATAAATTTCTATCTCCTTATTTTGCCTAATTCTCTGTGTTTATTTCTGTGTACTAGGTCGGTTGGTTAGCATTTCCAATCTTGGTGAAGTGGCCTTATTTAGAAAACTTCCTAGGGAGCCTAGCAGGACATGTTCTCTGGTTCAGTTCAGTTCACTCAGTCATTCCGACTCTGTGCAAGCCCATGGACTGCAGCACGCTAGGCCTCCCTGTCCATCACCAACTCCCAGAGTTTACTCAAACTCATGTCCACTGAGTTGGTGAGGCCATCCAACCATCTCGTCCTCTGTCGTCCCCTTCTCCTCCCACCTTCAATCTTTCCTAGCATCAGGGTCTTTTCCAGTGAGTTGGCTCTTTGCATCATGTGGCCAAAGTATTGGAGCTTCAGCTTTAGCATCAGTCCTTCCAATGAATATTCAGGACTGATTTCCTTTAGGATGGACTGGTTGGATCTCCTTGCAGTCCAAGGGACTCTTCAAAAGTCTTCTCCAACACCACAGTTGAAATGCATCAATTCTTCAGTGCTCAGCCTTCTTTATGGTCCAATTCTCACATCCATATGTGACTACTGTAAAAACCATAGCTTTGACTAGATAGACCTTTGTCAGCAAAGTAACGTCTCTGCTTTTAAATATACTTTCTAAGTTTTCCGTAGCTTTTCTTCCAAAGAACAATACACTAGAAGCAATCAGTAGCTGAGTCACTGAGGCAGAAGAATGGATAAATGACCTGGAGGACCGAATGGTGGAAATCACTGCCACAGAACTGTATATAGAGAAAAGAATGAAAAAAATGAAGACAGCCTAAGAGACCTCTGGGACAACATCAAACACACCAACATTCACATTATAGAGGTCCCAGAAGGAGAAGAGAGAAAGGACCTGAGAAAATATTTGAAGAGATAATAGCCGAAAACTTCCTGAACATGGCAAAGGAAATAGTCAACCCAATACAGGAAGCACAGAGAGTCCCGGGAAGGATAATCCCAAGCAGGAACACACATAGAAAAACTTGTGGTCACTTTTAAAAATCCAGGTGCATATCAGAATTATCTTGGAAATTTTTAAAAAATACAAATGTCTAGTTACTGCCTTTTTTTCTCCAGAGCGCTAGATATATTTCTAGTGAGCAACCATGGTTAAAAAACAGAGCTATATGATGATCTTTTACTTTTATCTAGTTTGTTTTACTTTTTTCTATTTCATATTCAGTGTTCTCATTTCATTTAGTTTATGTTTTCCATTTTCTCCATCTCTTTTTGTTTTATGATGTTCTTTCTCAAACCTTTATTAAGCATAGTAGAAAAGCTTTTGTATACATATATATGTGACCAAGCTAGACAGCATATTAAGAAGCAGAGACATTACTTTGCCAACAAAGGTCCGTCTAGTCAAAGCTATGGTTTTTCCAGTAGTCATGTATAGATGTGAGAGTTGGACCATAAAGAAAGCTGAGCGCCAAAGAATTGATGCTTTTGAACTGTGGTGTTGGAGAAGACTCCTGAGAATCCCTTGGACTGCAGGCGATCAAACCAGGCAATTCTAAAGGAGATCAGTCCTGAATATTCATCAGAAGGACTGATGTTGAAGCTGAAACTCCAATACTTTGGCTACCTCATGTGACAAACTGACTCACTGGAAAAGACCCTGATGCTGGGAAAGATTGAAGGTGGGAGGAGAAAGGGATGACAGGGGATGAGAGGGTTGGATAGCATCACTGACACGATGGACATGAGTTTGAGTAAGCTCTGGGAGTTGGTGATGGGACAGGGAGGCCTGGCGTGCTGCAGTCCATGGGGTCACGCAGAGTCGGACATGACTGAGCAACTGAACTGAACTAAACTGATACAAATGATAGGCATAATATGTATATTAGAAAAGTTATGAATTTTTGCCTAACTAAAAACTGTATGACATTTTGATTCCACTTATTTGACTTAGTATAAATAGCATGCTAGATTTCTAATTTTAAAAAATGGATATGCAACAAGCAACAAAGGTTTACTGTATCACACAGGGAACTACAGTCAATATCTTGTAATAACTTATAATGGAAAATAATTTCAAATATATGTGTATAGTATATGAATACTATTTTGCTGTGCACCTGAAACATTGTAAGTCAGCTATACTTAAATAAAATGTATGTATTAAGAAAAAATTATGGATAAATGTATGTATAAATGAACCACTTTAATGTATATCTGAAACAAACACTAAATTAAGTATACCCCAGCATAAAATAAAAATTAAATTTAAAAAAGAAAAAAATATTAACTTGGTGGCTCAGAGGGTAAAGCGTCTGCCTGCAATGTGGGAGACCCACGTTCGATCCCTGGGTCGGGAAGATCCCCTGGAGAAGGAAATGGCAACCCACTCCAGTACTCTTGCCTGGAGAATCCCATGGACAGAGAAGCCTGGTAGGCTACAGTTCACAGGGTTCCAAAGAGTCGGACACAACTGAGCAACTTCACTTCACTTTGAACTCTGTTAAATACTTTTCATCCTCAAAAGACATCGTAAAAGAAAATGAAAACACCACTCACATATTGGCAAAACAGTATCTGATAAAGGGTTTGTTTTTAGAAAATAAAGTCTTTTAACAAAATAATGAAAAACAATTTAGAATTGGCCAAAGATGTGAAGAGACATTTCACCAAAGAAGATACCAAATGGTGGACAAGCATTTTAAAGATCTTCACTAGCATAAGTCATTTAGAAAATGTAAACTAAAATCACAGTGAGAGGCTATTCACTCTACATCCCCTAGGATAGTTAAACATGTGCTAAAATGACCCTGGAGGAGTAAATGACAACCCACTCCATATTCCTGCCTGGAAAATTCCATGGATAGAGAAGCCTGGCAAGCTACAGTCCATGGGATTACAAAGAGTCAGACACAACTTAGAGAATGTGCACACACACACACAAAATGACCATACTATTTAAGGCAATATACAGATTTAGTGCAATCCTTTTCAAATTACCAATGGTGTTTTTCACAGAACTGGGCCAAAATTTTTTTTAATTTATATGAAAACACAAAAGACTCTGAGTAGCCAAAATAGCCTTGGGGGAAAAAAGGAATGGAGCTGGAGGAATCACATGCCCTGATTTCATACTATTGGATGAAGCTAAAAGCCACAGTAATCACAACAGTACAGTACTGGCACAAAAACAGACATGTAGATCAATGGAACAAGACAGAAAGCCCAGAAATAAAGCCAAGCATCTATGGTCAATTAATCTATGACAAAGGAAACAAGACTATACAATAGTGAACAGTCTCTTCTATAAGTGCTGCTGGAAAGCCTAGACAGCTACATGTAACGGAGTGGAATTAGAACAGTCTCTAACACCACATGCAAAAATAAACTATATTAAAGACCTAAATGTAAGACCGGATAATATAAAACTCCTAGAGGAAAACAAGGAAGACACTCCTTGCTATAAATTGTGGCAATATTTTTTTGGATCTGTCTCCTAGAGTAATGGGAACAAGCACAAAAATGAGACCTAGTTAAAGTTAAGAGCTTTTGCACAGCAAAGGAAATCGTAATCAGAATGAAAAGACAGCATACAAAATGGGAGAAAATGTTTGCAAATAAATGCAAATGATAATTAATTTCCAAAATATACAATTTATACCATTCAATATAAAAAAAATCAAAAAATAGGTAGAAGACCTACACAAACATTTCTCCAAAGAAGACATAAAGATGGCCAATAGGCACATGAAAAGATGCTCAACATCACTAATTATTAGAGAAATGCAATCAAAACTGCAATGAGGTGTCATTTCACACTGCTCAGAATGGCCATCAAAAATCTACAAATAATAAATGTTGAAGAGGGTATGGAGAAAAAGGACCCCTCATACATTCTTGATAGGAATGTAAATTGGTACAGGCACTATGGAGAACAGTATGGAGATTCCTTAGACTAAATATAGAACTACAATATGATCCACCAGTGCCACTCCTGGGCATATATCTGGAGATAAACATGGCCCCCAAAAATACATGCACCCCATGTTCACTGCAGCACTGTTTACATTAGCCAAGACATGGAAGCAACCTATGTGTCCATCAATAGAAGATGTGGTACATATATACAATGGAATACAAGCCATAGAAAAGAATGAAATAATGCCATTGGCAGCAATATGAATGGACCTGGAGACTATCATACTGAGTGACAAATACTATATATCACTTATATATAGAATTGAAAATAACATGAATGAAATTATTCACAAAACAAATACTCATTTAGAAAACAAAAAATTATTTGTTTACCAAGGGGGAAGGGAGGAGGGATAAATTAGGAATTTGGGATTAACAGATACACACTAGTATATATAAAATAGACAATGACCTATTGTATAGAACAAGGACCTATATTCATTATCTTGTAATAAATTATAATGGAAAAGAATCTGAACAAATATACACATATTGATATGTATCTGAATCACTTTGATATACACCTGAAATATTGTAAAGCAAGTATACATCAATAAATAAATATATAGCTAAACCTATGGTTATTATTTGCCCTAGCAATTCCTCTCCCCATTATTTTAGTAATGATCCAAAGCTGGAAACAACCAAATGTCCATCAATCTTGTGAACAGATAAAGAAATTGTAATATAGCCATGTAATGGAACAGTAGTCAAAAAAGAAATAAACTATTGAAATATGCAGCAACAAGATTGAATTTCAAAAGCATAATCCTAAAGAAAAGACCAAAAATGACTACATATAGTATGATTCCATTTATGTGACAGTTTAGAGAAGATGGAATGGTAGTGATTGAAAGATCAGTCATTTCCCGTGGCATGGCATGGGGTGGTGGATTGACTGCAAAGATGTACATTTTAGGGGTGATGAAAATGGATTATATCTTGATTGTGGTGTGGATTGACTGCAAAGATATACATTTTAGGGGTGATGAAAATGGATTATATCTTGATTGTGGTGAAAATTGCATAAATTTATACATTTGTCAAAACTCAAACTGAATACTCAAAATGGGTGAATGTATATGTAAATTATATGAATAAATTTGTTTTTCTTAAATATACACTGGGGCTTCCTGGATAGCTCAGCTGTTAATCCACCTGCGATGCAGGAGATCCAAGTTTGACTCCTAGGACAGGAAGTTCCCCTGGAGAAGGGATAGGCTACCCACACCACTACTCTTGGGCTTCCTTGGTAGCTCAGACAGTAAAGAATCTGCCTGCAATGCAGGAGACCTAAGCTCGCTCCTGGGTTGGAAAGCTCCCCTGGAGGATGGCATAGCAACCCACTCGAGTATTCTTGCCTGGAGAATCCCCATGGACAGAGGAGCCTGGTGGGCTGCAGTCCATGGGGTTGCAAAGAGTCGGACACGACTGAGTGACTAAGCATAGCCATTCCCTTCTCCAGGGGATCTTCCTAACCCAGGCGTCGAACCTGGGTCTCCTGCACTGCAGGCGGATTCTTTACCATCTGAGCCACCAGGGAAGCTGGCTTTTGCATTCTAATAAAAGGAGAACTTGCTACACTGCCCTTTTAACTTTCTTAATGAAAAAAGGGCTCTGCTTGATATAAAGGCACAAATAATGAATGTTTTAAATAAAGAAGAAAAACAGTCTGACTGAGGGTTTTTTTGCACCTAAATATAATATTTTTATTTAAGTGTAATTGTGAGACTACAGTTTCTCAGAATAACAGGATTAATTTCTATATTTTCCATGACTACTGTATTCAGTCTGGTGTTCTATTTCTGTTTAATCTTCCTTACTTAATTGGGTTAGATTCTGTGTCAAGAATATAGAAGTCATTCCAGCCAGAATAAACTCTCTTGACTGTAACTGATGCAATCAGAGCTGAAGGGTTATAACTCAGAAAGAAAATTATAGTTTATAATTTTATATTTTTATATAATTATATTCTATAAGTGGAATCAGGCTTTAGTCTAGTAAAAGGGGGCTCTTCATAAATAGTTTCAAATGAAGGATCTTTTTGTGTTTCCTTTTCCTCTTCCAATATATCTTCATAGTCATATATTTTTTCTTGTGCTTGCTCAAACCTGAAACCTAGAGAGCAAGACAAACATTTAGAAAGATGCCAGACGTGACAGGCTATAGCTCATTCAATATGCTCTATTCCACATTCCTTCTCACCACTCTTAGAGTGGATATCTTTGTATCCTGTTTAATCATAAATATCCCATATTTCTGAGATCATTCTACATTTCATGACCATGTTTCATTGTCCATCTTTAAAAGTCTCTGTAGGATCTGTGTTTGAGCTTTGATCTACTACTAGATAGCTCTATAATTTTTTTTTTTTTTGCTAGCTCTGTAATTTGAAGCAAGTTACTTAACCTCTGTCTTAATTTCCTCATCTATAATATAGGAATAATAATAGCACATGCCTCAGCTTATCTTTGTGAGAACTAAGTGAGATGGTGAATGTAAGGCATTTAGCTAGTACTCCACAGTTAACCATTAGCTAACAATTCTTTAGTCACAAAGAAAAACCTTTTCTGTCCCTAAAGTTTTCAAATTCTGAATTTTGATTTCCTCTTGCTTCTTGCAGAAGTGGCACATGCTCTCTCCTCTTTTTACTGCCAGCATCTGCAATGTATTACCTGCCTTCCATTATGATACAGATCTCCATTACTTAAAACAGCTTTCACGTGCTCTTAAGATCCTTCCAATTAGTGTTATATCTTTTCTTTTTTTCCCACAATAATATTTTAGCCCAGTAAATAATATTCTCTGCTTCCATTTTATACTTGTCATTCCTTTATATTCTTTTATTTGCCATTGAGACCCTACTGTGTTCTACACACTGGGAATTCAGTAGCAAACAAGACAGATAACTTGCCTTCAAGTAAAGATAGTTGCCTACACCTGTTCTACAGAAGGCCATCAACTGCATGAAACCCCTGAAGTGGAAGCCACAAAGTGTGCTTGATGACCAGGCAAGATGCCAGTGATGCTGAGCTGTTGTGAGTGAGGGGGAGAGAGTGGGACATGATAAGGATGAAAAGCTAAACCAGAGCCGGAGTGCCATGATAAAGTTAGGGTTTTATTCCAAGTGCAGTGGAAAACTAAATGGCAGAAGGGTTAGTCATCGTTAAGAGTATGGAGTCTAGAGAGTATGGTTTCTAGAGCTACCCGGTCTCAGTTCAAATCCTGGCCCTCACAGGGACTGTGACCTTGAGCAAGTAACTTGGCTTCTCTTTAAAATGTGGATAATAGAACCTGTCTCACTGGATTGTTCTGAAGATCAAATGAATCAATTTTATAAAGCACTTTAAGACAGTACTTCAACATGGTAGTTGCTAAAGAAAAGTTCATTAAATAAGTGCTTTAATTATGCTGGTTTAAATTTGTAGATCACTATCTGTTGCATGGGAAATGGAATGGAGGAGAATAGGTTTGGAGACGTTGCAGAAGCCCACAGAAAATGATGGCAACTTGGACTCTGGTGGTGCCAGTGAATTGCAAATGAGTAGATAGGTTAAGGGCTTCCCTGGTGGCTCAGTGGTAAAGAATCTGCCTGCAATGCAGGAGACTCGGGATCGATCCCTGGGTCAGGAAGATCCCCTGGAGAAGGCGATGACAACCCACTCCAGTATTCTTGCCTGGGAAATCCCAGGGACAGAGGAACCTGGCAGGCTACAGTCCATGGGATCACAAGAGCTGGACACGACCTAGTGACTACACCACCACCACCACAGAGAATGCTATGCACCAGGCACTATTATAAGCGCTTCACATGTACTATCTCATTACCTCACAGTAATCCATGAGTTAAGTACTACTGTTATTTTCATTTTATAGATGAGGAAACTAAGATATTAACTTGCCCGAGATTATACAGCCAGTAAACAATAGAGCAAAAAATCAAAACCAGGAAGTTGTGAATCAACATTCCACAATTAAAGCCTCTTTTTTTTACTGCCAGTCACAGGTGACAGAGGGACAGAACTCATGCAGTCAAATTCTAGAAAAACTATAACTAGGCTTTGGCTATGTTAGAATTATTGATACTTCTGGAATAGCATTTATTTTGCCAAGTCAAGTTTGCTCATTAAAAATTATTACTGAAACATGAGATATGCAACATTTTTAAAAGAGGATTCATTTTTTTAGAAAAGAAACGTTTTATCCAACTCTAAATAAAATGTAAAATTTCCTTCTATTTCCAAATAACAATTATATATATAAAGGCAAAAATGACTTGATAAATTTATTTATCTGTATAGTGTGTGGAATACAGAAGTGTTTGTTAGGCACTTCGAAACGTATACATGTGTGGAATGTATTGTTTTGGTTTATAAGAATTTCCCATTGGAGAAGGAAATGGGAACCCATTCCAGTAGTCTTGCCTGAGAAATCCCATGGACAGAGGAGCCTGGTGGGCATGGGGTCACAAAGACTCACACTTGACAGAGCAACAAGGCACACACACACACAATTTCCCATTATTGCTAAAAAATCACCTACTTTTGAAGTTAGCTGAAGAGTTGCTTGTAGCAATTTCCTTCCAGTTGGCAATGTACCTAAGCACATTATATAGGCATTCATTAAATTAAACCAATTTATTAGTAAATAATACAGTGATTCATTAGTACCTACTTGGACTACTTCTAAAATTCTACTTTCTGTATGAAATCTTAGATTAATGATGATAAATTCACTAGTCCAAACGTTTGATTTCTTGACTTCCCACCTCAAAGTAGCCCTCACGCACCTGAGGCAAGCCCTCGGACAGGGAGTTGTAAGAGCTATGAAAACGGTGCCCGCCATCCACCACGTCGGTGCCCGCTGGCCTCCCTCCAGCACGCACTCCTCATCTTATACTCTTCCGTTCCTGCTAGATCATGGCCTCGTTTGGCTGACAGCTAAGATGTCAGTTAACTTCTAAATTAAAAGCATGAAGGGAAAAATTTTGAAAGTCATGGGAAAACTTTAACAACAAAACTTTATCCTTGGTGCTGGATTGCCAGACCTACTGTCTCTGACATGTAAATGTAAATCATTTAGTTTATGATCTTATTAGAGCAATGGTGCTGTCTTTGCTGTGTCCAGTAAACATGGGATCATATTCAAGCAGGGTACATGCAGCTGTCACTTCCGTTCCTTAAACAGAGACTGACATGTGGAGACAAGAGTAGCCTGAGAAGGGGTGGATAGGGAAGGACAAGCGTGGTGAGCTGAGGGGAAGCTCCAAGGGCCAGGTTTCCTGTGACTTATCCCATCTCATTTTAGGCTCTGTATCCCCCTTTCCCAAACTTCCTTTCTTACAGCTATACCCAACAAACCAGGTTAAGAAGTTGATTACAGCAGGAGCTAAAAAGAAGTTGATTGAGAAAGGAGGAGGAGGATTAAAATTGTCATGTAATTCAGAAAAGGCTGATTTTCACTTGAATTACTTTTACTCTTGTTAACTTTGTATTCCTGAATTTTTTGTTATGTGAAGGTATAAATTATGCAACAGTGTTTAATTGCAATTAAGTACTGTGTCTAAGGGCTTCCAGGTGGTACTAGTGGTAAAGAACCCACCTGCCAATGCAGGAGATGAAAGAGACTAGGATTCGATCCCTGGGTTGGGAAGATCCCCTGGAGGAGGGCATGGCAACCCACTTCAGTATTCTTGCCTGGAGTATCCCAGGCACAGAGGATACTGGTGGGCTACAGTCCACGGGGTCACAAGAGTCAGACATGACTAAAGCGACTTAGCACACATGCAGTGTGTCTAATGTCAACCTCTTCTTGTTACTGCTGCCTCTTTTTGCTCCAAGAATTCTATGGTGGTGAGTGGAATACTCCTGGGTCACTGTTAAATGAAAAGATGCAAGATAATAGCAGGTGGTATAAACCCCTTCCAGGATCTTCAGCAGTACCTGAACTGAGAACTTCCAGATATACAAGCTGGATTTAGAAAAGGCAGAGGACCCAGAGATCAAATTGCAAATATTCATTAGATTATAGAAAAAGCAAGGGAATTCCAGAAAAACAACTACTTCTTGCTCCAAGAATTCTATGGTGGTGAGTGGAATACTCCTGGGTCACCGTTAAATGAAAAGATGCAAGATAATAGCAGGTGGTATAAACCCCTTCCAGGATCTTCAGCAGTACATGAACTGAGAACTTCCAGATACACAAGCTGGATTTAGAAAAGGCAGAGGACCCAGAGATCAAATTGCAAATATTCATTAGATTATAGAAAAAGCAAGGGAATTCCAGAAAAACAACTACTTCATCAACTATGCTAAAGCCTTTGACTGTGTGGATCACAGAAAACTGGAAAATTCTTAGAGATGGGAATACTAGACCACTTTACCTGTCTCCTGAGAAACCTCTATGTGGGTCAAGAAGCAATAGTTAGAACTTGACAGAACAACAGACTGGTTCAAAATTGGGAAAGGAGTATATATATCAAGGCTATATATTGTCACTCTGTTTATGCAGTGTACATCATGCAAAATGCCAGGCTGGAAGACTCACAGGCTGGAATCAAGATTGCCAGGAGAAATATAAGAAACCTCAGGTATGTAGATGATACCACCCTAATGGTAGAAAGTGAAGAGGAATTAAAGAGCCTCTTGATGAGGGAGAAAGAGGAGAGTGAAAAAGTTGCCTTAAAACTCAAGATTCAAAAACTAAAATCATGGCATCCTTCATGGCAAATAGATGGGGAAAAGTGGAGACAGTGACAGACTTTATTTTCTCGGGCTCCAAAATCACTGCAGATGGTGACTGCAGCCATGAAATCAAAAGACACTTGCTCTTTGGAAGAAGAGCCATGACAAACCTATAACAGCATATTAAAAAGCAGAGGCATCACCTTGCTAATAAGTGTCTGTATTGTCAAAGCTATGGTTTTTTCCAGTAGTCATGCACCGATGTGAGAGTTGGACCATAAAGAATGCTGAACGCCAAACTGATGCTTTCAAACTGTGAAGAAGATTCTTGAGAGTCATTCGGACTGCAAGGAGATCAGTCAGTCAGTCCTAAAGGAAATCAATCCTAAATACTCATTGGAAGGACTGTCCCTGAAGTTGAAGCTCCAATACTTTGGCCACCTGAAGCGAACAGCCAACTCATTGGAAAAGACCCTGATGTTGGGAAAGACTGAGGGCAGAAGAAGAGGGTGACAGAGGATGAGATGGTTGGATGGCATCACCAAATCAATGGAAATGAGTCTGAGCAGACTCTGGGAGATGGTGAAGGACAGGAAAACCTGGTATGCTGCAGTCCATAGGGTTGCAGAGTCAGACATGGCTTAGTGACTGAACAGCAACAACAGGATCTCTTAGTTGATGGTTCAGTCTGGCTTAACCTTAAATTTAGGCAGATTTTGTGCTTTCAGTGGTTGCTCAGGAGCACTATGAAAAGTGGGTGTCCATCACCATACTTCCTTAGATTTATATACTGAAAGATCTTTATTTCACCTTCAAGGAGCCAAGATAAAAGACCTTTGATTAATTGTATGCTAAACCCTGGCAGTGTGAGGCACAAACATATGCTATATTTAAGGGTGAATACTGACCCAGCTTTACCTGAGATCAAGATATGAATTTATTCAATTGTTTAAAAAGAACTTCTCATAAGGAACATGACAGTAGTAACCAGTAAGAAATAAAATCTTTACAAATAGAAGCAACAACTTGATTGTATCATTTTCATGCTGTTTATATCATAAAGTTGCTCTTTCTAAGAAATTTTTGGAATTTTTTAAAGATATTAGCAAAGTATATGTGGAATCTATCACAGAATTTAACATCTTAATGGCCTGGGGAAAATCCCTAGCCAGAGAGGTAATATAACCACTTGTCTTAGAAATCAAAGGGGCAGGTTCGGACATAGACATTACCCATTGAGAGCTCTCGCCAAATAGAACATCAGAAAATTATTTAAGATAGCCAAGCTGCTGATGACTTAATGTGTTATGTTAAACTTCACCTGTAGTTTGAAAACTGTGACAATTCTGGAAGAGAAACATCTATCTCAATAGAAAATATGCCCCTGAAAATCCAGCGGGATGAATGCCATCAGAGGCAGAGTGGCCACTGTGTGGTATTGTAGGTGACTCAATAACGGCAGTGCAGGCATTGGTTTTTATTCTAAGTGCCTGCAGCAATGTGTCTCTGGATAGTACAGAATTTACAAGGGTACTCATCAGTGTCCTTGAGTCCAAGAGTGAAGCTGGCCTTTCCGTTCTTCAAAATTATAATAATATTTCACTTGATCGCTCTTGTTGCCCTGTTTGTCTGGAGATGGACATGGTTTCTTTCCAGGAGAGATCCATCTGCCGTAACAAGGGGCTAGCACAAAAGCCTTTGGGAAGAAACTGTTTTGTATCACTCAGTATCAGTGTTCAACACATTTATGTCATTCTAATGGTCCAACTATCAAAAACTGTCTATAGATTTTGAAAGATTCTCTCCAAGGAATTAGTGGCTACCAATTTAGAGAAAACATCAGTCTTTGAAATTCTCTTCAAATAATGTATTATCAAGCCAGTTACAAATATCTAGAGAACAAAGATCTAAGAGGAAAGTGGACTGTAGAGACCATAAATACACTGGGAAAAAGGTATTTATACCTAATGTCTGCTCTTGGCTAGGGGAAAGTCTTTGCACATTTTGATCCTACTTGAGATAATCAGTAAGTTGTGGTCTGTGAAAGTGTTAATCATTGTCATGTCCAACTCTTTGCAACCCCATGAACTGCAGCTCAACAGGCTCCTTTGTCCATGGAATTCTCCAGGCAAGAATACTGGAGTGGGTAGCCATTTCCTCCTCCAGGGGTCTTCCCGACCCAGGGATCGAACCCAGGTCTCCTGCATTGCAGGAAGTTTCTTTACCATCTGAGCCACCAGGGAAGCCCCTGTGGTCTGTGATACTACTGAAATATTCCCAAATAATCATGCTGGATTCCATTTGAAATTTCTGTTGTCTGGAGCTCATTAGAAAAACTTGCTTTCTAACAATTCCAAGTTGGTCCCAAATTATGCTCAAGTCATAGAATGAACTGATAGAAGTATATAATTTGGAAACATGAGTAGTCTACATTTTTTTAAAATGGAAAATTTGAGTAGTGTCACCATATCAAAACGAGATGTAATTATCCTACTCCATATACAGTACGTGATACCAGAAAACCACTTCAAATCTTCCCAGTTTGTTCTGTTGTTATTCTTTTCTCCACAATGGGAAGCCATTAGGAAACTTCTTCATCTACCAGTGAAGGGTGTTAAGGGATGATAGTCGGGAAAGTCCTGTGTAGCCTGAGATGTCTGTTTATTTCTTTCCTTTGAATTCAATTTATTCTTTTTTTTTTTTCAACTTTCAACTTTTTATTTTATATTGGGATATAGCTGACTAACAATGTTGTGGTAGTTTCAGGTGAACAGGGTAGGGGCTCAGCCATACAAATGCATGTATCCATTCTTTTCAATATAGGATAGTGGGTACGGATTATTTCTAATCTTTCACTGAAGCTTGCTGGCTCTTTGCTGAATTAGTCAACTGTATAAGGGAAAAGCAGAGCAGGATTTCAAAAGTTTACCTGAGAAAATTCTCTATCCTGCCCTTATAAAATGGACCTCCTCAAAATGGACCTCCCTACCTCTCTCTTTCTCTACCTTCTTAGGAAAGCAAAAAGTACAGCATCACATCTCATTCTTTGGATGTCATTTCTTGCATCATTATTACCACCTGTATTTATTCAGTGCTCCAGAAACCACAAATGTGCTGTCTGTAAGGAATCTCAGTACTATGCCTGGATGAGATATTGGGATTTTTGAGTCATAAAACCTTTGTACTATTTATTAAAAAGTACTTTAGTGTATCTATTATGGATAATTAGCTCTTTATTCCTTCTCAAGTTTTCTTTTTATTTTTCAAAGTATCTTTCCCATAATTATAATTGTTCTGTGTCTGCGTGTGTGTTAGTTGCTCAGTTGTGTCTGACTCTTTGAGATTCCACAGACTGTAGTCTATCAAGGGCAAGAATATTGTAGTGGGTTGCCATTTCCTTCTCATATATTCTTATTTTCTCATTTTCTTTTTTTGTTAGTCATCCTTCCCCTTTTTTCTTCTTTCCTCTTTGCTTTTCTCATTGTTTTCTTTTCTGCTTTCTCTGGCCTCTTTTTCTCTGGTTTATTGTTCAGTGGTGTGAGTGCATGCTCAGCTGCTCAATCATGTCTGACTCTTTGCAACCCCACGGACTGTAGTCTGCCAGGCTCCTTTGTCCGTGGGATTGATTCTCCAGGCAAGAATACTGGATGGTAGCCATTTCCTCCTCCCTCCAGACCCAGGGATAGAATTAGTGTCTCCTGCATCTTCTGCATGGCAAGTGGATTCTTCACCACTGAGCCACCTGGGAATTCCCTGTTCAATGGCAGTCAACCTAATTTTTCCTATTTTATGTTTTTATCTCCCTCTTCTGAATTTCTTCCTTTGTCTTATATTTCTTTACTTACACTATCTTTATTTTTTCCAATTTTTCATCCATGCAGTATTCACATCATTATTGTAGCTGAGTAAATATTGAATTTTTTAAAGCTTTATTGAGATATAATTCACATACCATAAAATGTGCCCATTTAAAGTGTACAGTTCAATGGCTTTTTAGTGTATTCAGAGAGTTGTGCATACATCACCATGGTTGACTTTAGAACATTTCATTACTCCAAAAAGAAACTTCACTCCCCTTAGCCACCACTTCCCAATCCCCACAAATCTCTAAGCCCGAGGCAACCACTAATCTACTTTCTATCTCCATAAATTTGCCTATTCTGAACATTTCAATATAAATGGAGCCATTCAATATGTGTTCCTTTGTGATTGACTTCTTTCACTTAGCAGGTTCATCAAAGTTGTAGCATTTCTTTTTATTGCCAAATAATATTACATTATTTGGATATGTCACATTTTAATCATCAGTTCATGAACAGATTGTTTCTAATTCTTGGCTATTATGAATAATAATGTTACAAACATTCATGTAAAGTTTTTATGTGCATGTGTTTTCATTTCTCTTGTGTATATACTGAGGAGTAGAAATGCTAAATTATGTGGTAACTCGTTTGAACCATTTTAGGAACTTCCCGATTGTTTTCCAAAACAGCTACACCATTGTACATTCCTACAAAGAGTAGGAAGTCCTACAAAGGATTTCAATTTCTCCAAAATTTTGCCAACACTGATCACCATGTCTTTTTAATTATAGCTATTTTTGTAGATATAGCTGTCTAACAGGATCTTATTATCATTTTGATTTGTGTTGCCCTAATGGCTACATGACAGAGAAGGCAATGGCAACCCACTCCAATACTCTTTCCTGGGAAATCCCATGGACGGAGGAACCTGGTAGGCTGCAGTCCATGGGGTTGATAAGAGTCAGACTCGACTGAGCGGCTTCACTTTCACTTTTCACTTTCATGCAATGGAGAAAGAAATGGCAACCCACTCCAGTGTTCTTGCCTGGAGAATCCCAGGGACGGCGGAGCCAGGTGGGCTGCCGTCTATGGGGTCGCACAGAGTCAGAAACAACTGAAGTGACTTAGCAGCAGCAGCAGCAAATGACCACATGAAGTATTTTTTAATTTCCATCACACAAAAAAGTCCTAAAAATGTTTTTCAAGGGCAAAAATATGTCACTAAAAAATAACTTTTTAATGTCCCACACAGGAAGATTAGGGAATACAGATTAAGGAAATTCTTTATATTATTACTTTCATGTTCTTAGCTTGGTTTCTGTATCCCAAAGTAAGAGTAAAACAGAGTTAAACTAAGGCATAAGAATAAAGTCTGATAATAAAGAACACCCAAATCTATTTTTCTTTTTTCTACTTTCAGATCATCCCTTTTTATATTTCTCTCTCATTTCCTTTTCTTTTCTTTCTATAAGATAATACAAATGCAAGGAACTTTTAAGAGTATGTTAGTGGCCCCCAAGATCCAACATGGGAGTGAGAAATATTAGAAAAATATTGACTGCCCTGATGCCTGATGCATGCCCTTGCTCCCCAAGAATAGTAACATATATTTACTCATCAAAGTTGAGTGTGTTTGTCCAGTTCAGCACTTCATCCACTTCCCATTCCATCACAGAATCTATTCCACCATCTTCAATAGTTCTTAATAGGCCTTTTGTTGCTGTTTGAATTAAACCTACAGTTTCGTAATTTGTTGACTTAGCCTCCAGGTTTCCTGCATAGTACCTACATATAGGAAAGGAAGAGCGAGATAAATCCTTTGAATCAGGTGACTGCTAGTGGATGCAGTTAGTATACATTATTGCTGTCAAACTATTTACATCATAAACAAAGTTTTCATCCTATTTAATTTAAATACATTTAAGCCAAGTTGTATGTGATGGGATCATCTGGAAAAAAACAAAGCAGCTTAATCAACCACACTAACTAGAGAAGCCTCATTTCAAAATCACCTCTCAGTAAGTTGTACTGTTGTGATACAAGGAAAAGCTAAGTATAGAATTACAGAGTCAAAGGATCTTAGAGACCAAATAACTATCCCATTTGTTTCACAGGCAATGCAATAAACCCCAGAAGAGTAACTTTTACAAAGTCATATGGCTAATCTAAAAACTAAAAAAAATTAAATATATATAATAAAACAAAAACAGACCCACAGATGTAGAGAACAAACTAGCAGGTTACCAATGGTGAGAGAGAAGGGGGAGGGAGTTCACATGAAAGTGAAGTCGCTCAGTCGTGTCCAGCTCGTTGCTACCCTGTGGAGTATAGCCCACCCAGGCTCCTCTGTCCATGGGATTTTCCAGGCAAGAATACTAGAGTGGGTTGCCATTTCAAGCAACAAGGATAGATATATTGTACAGCACAGGAAAATATAGCCAGTGTTTTATAATAATATTAAGTGGAGTATAATCTTTAAAATTATTGAATCACTATGTTGTACACTTAAAACTAATACAGTATTGTAAATCAACTATACTTCAAAAAAACCCCACTACTTCCTCCTATCTCTCTTGAGAGGTTTAGAAGTGTAAATCCCTATAAAACATTTAGGAAAATGCCTAGGACATAGTAAACATTCAGTCAAAGAAAGCTTACATAATCCTGTGGCAAGAGATAGGACAGTGACAAGATATGCCCCTGCACTCAGGAAGCTTCCACTGTGTCAGCCTTTAAACGGATAATAATTCATGAGAAAGAAAGAAAGTGAAGTTGTTCAGTCATGTCCAGCTCTTTGCGGACCCCATGGACATAGCCTAGCAGGCTCCTCCATCCATGGGATTTTCCAGGCAAGAGTACTGAAGTGGGTTGCCATTTCCTTCTCCAGGGGATCTTCCAGACCCAGGAATCAAACCCAGGTCTCCCACACTGCAAGGCAGATGCTTTACATTCTGAGCTGCCAGGGAAGCCCCAATAATCCACGAGAACTAATATATTTTATAGAAGCAGGAACATACTTCTTGATTTATATTGTTTAGTAAGAGTACAGGTTATAATAAACTATGATTTCACAATTTTTCTATAGGTCTTTGTTCAGTTATTCATTTAGTAAATACTGAGTGCCAACTGTTTGTAAAGCATCATGTACAGGGGTGAAATTCCTTCATAAAACTTGGAATCTTCTACTCTATCCTCTAGTCCCTGAACAAATAGGCACCTATTTTAAATGAATGAATGAATGATGGTATCCACTGGCCCAGATTTATTAACTAATTCTCATGCCATAACAAAAATACATTTAGAAATTAAAAAATACTGGAAGGCTGGGGGTGAATGCATTTTTTATCAACTACTCCATGTTTTGCCTTTCCAAATATACAAACACTTAAGATCAGATCTGGAAACCTGGATGATATTCCTTTTTATAAATAAAATAAATAATTCGGATATCTATTTTTGCTCTCATACTTTGTTTTACAGAGAATTAAGTAATTTATTCCAATAATATAATTCTGTTTTGAATTCTTTAAATGTTAGTCACTATTAGCTGGGCTATAAAAATCATAAAACAAAAACAAGCCAGCCAGTACAAACAGAATTTCAAATATAATAGTGATCAGAAATAAAGACTGCTTTATAATAATCATAACTTGTTTTATAGGGTGGTGTTTTAAAAGAAAAAAATTTGACTTTATAAGTGATATTGCAATATATTCCCTTAAAATGTCCTCATATTCTTTCTAAACTAAAAAATTTCGTGTTTAAAATTTTTAATTAAACTGTTTAAATATCATGACAGGGAGAGAAATTTAAATGCAAAGACCTAGTAACAACCAATGTTTACTGTAGGTACACAGTAAAGGACCTGATGTGAAGATCAAAGTTCTTTTAGTAAGACAGAGGTTAAAAAAAAAATGAAGATTTTGTCAACTATTGATTATCAGCAACAGTCAAATGGAAGTATTTAAATGCCATAAATGACCAAAGCACACAAAGCAAAATTTCTCATTCATCCTTTGCCACCCTAAAAAAAGGAAACAACACTCAGATATAAGGATTAATGCATTCATTCACTCAGCGAGCAAGCAACATATATTCATTAAACATCTAGTGGGTCTGAGGTCCAGTAACTAAGAACTAAGTTAATAGAACAGAATTTCTGTTCTTTAGGGGCTAAAAATCTAGTGGAGATGGCAGACAAATAGATAATCACAAAATCATTACAACTGAGTATATAAAAGATCTATGGGGCACTTCAAAAGAAGTGCTGAACTATGTCTAGGTAAGTCAGGTGAAACTTCAGAAGGAGATATTTGAGCCAAATATCAAAGGTTGCTGAGCCAGAAAAGAGCAACCTAGGGATAAGGAATATCATGTGGGATGTAAGTGATGTGAAGCCCCAAATAGGTTTCAGGTAAGTAAGTGATTTAATCAGTTTTAGAGATATCACCTCAGGATTTATATAGAGAGGAGCCCAGCGGGCTACAGTCCATCGGGTCGCAAAGAGTCGGACACGACTGAAGCAACTGAACAAACAAACAAACAGAGGAGCTATTAGAGACAAAGAGACCAACTAGAAGGACTTGCCCGGTAAAGTAGAGTTGAGGATGATGAAATGCTGCAGTTTGCAGTGGGAGAAGAGTCAGATTTGAGAGATACTTTGGAAGCACAATTAATAAGACCTAATGATGGGTCACGTACAGGAGTTTATGAAAGGTAAGAAATCTAGGGCAACATCTGCATTTCTGGCTTGGATGACTAGGTAAAATGATAGTGTCATAAACTGAGGCCAGGAGGAATACTGAAAAGAAACTCCTTTTATGATGGGAAACAAGAAATTGAACTTTGGACTTGTTGAATTTGAGATGGAAATGACCATATAATTAGAAATACAGAGCTCAGTTATGGATGAGGACTGTATTGAGAATAAATAAACAAAAAAAGAATAAATAAAATAGGAAATTATTCATGTGTATTAGCTTATTACTAGATGGCTCCTAGCTGGTGCTATAGCTGAATGTCAGCAAGTCTTACTGCCATTCTGTCAAAGTCAGCTGTTTCTAGGCAATGATGAGTGTATTTTGTTCTTCTGAGTCCATGACCACAGTTCCTTTGCTGTACATGGGTCGCCTCGTTGTAGATAGTGTTGTATGGAATAAAATCATGATGGATAGGCATAACATAATAAACGGTATTGCTGACAGAGTGATGGAGCAGAGAAATAAACTATAATACATATTCAGAATGTTTATCATTCTGAAGACAGAAGGGTTCCTCCTGTATTATGGGACGGGCCCAGTATAATTAGGCCACCACTGGGTAGCCAACATATCCCATTATGGAGGGCAAAGTTATAACTTTTGCTGTACAGTCAGATGTGACTATATACACATGGCCTTAGTGAAGAAAAGACTATATTTATGAGTCTAGGTATAGCTTCCATCCCTGTAGCCTGGACAATGTGAGCAGTTACTGAGTTGTTGCTGTTGTTCAGTTGCCAAGTTATGTCTGACTCTGAAACCCCATGAACAGCAGCATGCCAGACTTCCCAGTCCTTCACTATCTCCTGAAGTTGCATAGACTCATGTCCACTGAGAAAATGATGCCATCCAACCATCTCATCCTCTTCTGCCCCCTTCTCCTCTTGTCCTCAATCTTTCCCAGCAACAGTGTCTTTTCCAATGAGCTGGCTCTTTGCATTAGGTGGCCAAGGCATTGGAGCTTCAGCATCAGTTCTTCCAATGAATATTCAGGATTGATTTCCTTTAGGATTGACTGCCTTGATCTCCTTATAGTCCAAAGGGCTCTCAAGAGTCTTCTCCAGCACCACAATTTGAAAGCATCAATTCTTCAGTGCTCAGCCTTCTTTATGGTCCAACTCTCATATTCATATATGACTACTGGAAAAACCATAGCTTTGGCTATACTGACTTTGTTGGCAAAGTAATGTCTCTGCTTTCTAATATGCTGTCTAGGTTGGTCATAACTTTTCTTCCAAAGAGCAAGCCTTTTTTAATTTCATGGCTGCAGTCACCATCTGCCGTGATTTTGGAGCACAAGAAAAAAAACCAGATGTATAGAACAGACTTGTGGACTCTGGGAGAAGGCGAGGGTGGGATGTTTCAAGAGAACAGCATCGAAACATGTATATTATCTAGGGTGAAACAGATCACCAGCCCAGGTTGTGTGCATGAGACAAGTGCTCAGAGCTGGTGCACTGGGAAGACCCAGAGGGATCAGGTGGAGAGAGAGGTGGGGTGGGGGGGGGGGGGGGACCGGGATGGGGAATACATGTAAATCCATGGCTAATTCATTTCAATGTATGACAAAAACCACTGCAATGATGTAAAGTAATTAGCCTCCAACTAATAAAAATAAATGGAAAATAAAATAAAATAAAATAGTATATATTAATGTTCAAAAAAAAAAAAAAGAAAAGAAAATCTGCCACTGTTTCCACTTTTTCCCCATCTATTACCATGAAGTGATGGGACCAGATGCCGTGATCTTAGTTTTTGAATGTTGAGTTTTAAGCCACCTTTTTCATTCTCTTTCACTCTCATCAAGAGGCTCTTTAGTCCCTCTCTGCTTTCTGCCATTACAGTGATATCATCTGCATATCTGAGACTGCTGATATTTCTCCTGGCAATCTTGATACAACTTGTGATCATCTAGCCTGGCATTTCACATCATGTACACTGCATAGAAGTTAAATAAGCAGAGTGACAATGTACAGCTTAATGTACATACTGCTTTCTCAATTTTTAATTGGTACATTGTTCCAT